GCTCTTCATGTGCTCTTCATGTGCTCTTCATGTGCTCTTCATGTGCTTTCTTTTCTTCCTTTTCAGACACTCCCTTGTAAATCTACGTGTTTTGTCCTTCCATACTCAAGCTAACACAACAGGATCTCCATTTTCAGACTGTTTTCGTGGTCCCATCACACTCAGAAATAAAGTGGGAGATTTGTTCTATCCAGGAAATTGCCCCTCACTGGTATTCTTGACTGAACTCAGGATCATGAGGTATGGAAATGCCCGTTAACATCTAGGACAGGAATGACAGTGTGATCGATTGATGGTTGGACTAGATGATCTTGTAGGTCCTTTCCAACCTTGTGGTTCTATGATTCTAACATGTAGGTAGGATTAAGATTATACCGTACCAAAAGAACAGCTATGATTGGCAAATAATTTAATTAAGGTTTAGAAAATAAAACCTTTGAGGAATTAAACTGTTTTTGTTTTGCTGAATTTCTTTTTTAAGTTTTGTATTGATGGTGCTTCTCATCAAAAACCTGTATCCATAACAGATCTGAGAAAGTGGAAGACAAGAAAACAAAGTGGAATAGATAAGTGATGGAAAAGTATTTTGAAAAGAAACAACTGCGAAAGTTATGCAGATGCTGCTGGTTTTCATTTATTTATTTGTTATTATAAATTAAGGATTTATTTTAAATTTTGTGATCAGAGTTGCTTTATTTATATGCACAGCTATGAAAAGTTAAAACAAACAAACAAACAAAAAAAGCCTACTATGTCCTAAATAAGTTGTCTTGTTTCTTTTTTCTGCTGAGGTCAAGTTCATTATTGTAATTTTCTGTTTTTCATAGTGCCACTGCCAAATGACATTAAAATCACTAATACAGAAGTAGATTAAAAGAACACGATTAAGATTGCAAAGTCAGGAAAAATCATAATTAAGATTGCCTGTGCAATTTTAACTCAGTTCCTGTGTGGATATCCATCCTGATAAGAGTGTTTAATTACGTAGCCATGGTCTTTTTTTTTTTTTTCTTAGGGCACTTCCCAATCACTGAGCACCATCTTACTGACTCCTCTTAAAATGGTTATATTTTCATGGATTTTTTTAAAATTTTATTTTATTTAGAGGGCAGAGGAGAAATAATAAGATTCTTACACTTAAGAATCAGGACATTAATATGCTGACATATGATTTCACCATATTGTAACTTCTGTAGCACGTAAGTTCCTTGACTGTAACTAATGCTTTTGGGAGGGAGCCAACCCTGTTCCCTGTCTTCCCCAGAGTCCTACAGAACTCAAATTCAAGTTCCAGTATCTGGTATGTATGTACACATAAGCATTGTGAAGCAGAAGTATAAATGAGACTGTAAATATGACTTTATGATGGAAAATTTGGGCAACGGTTTTATTGTTTCTCGTTTCAACCATCTTGAAAATGCTGTAAAGGAATTGAGAAGTAACTGGAAAGTTTCTGAATTTATTTTCCTTAATGGAACTCTTATGATTATGTCATTGTAAGAGCTGTGACACAGGGCTACAAACGTGGTGAGCAGTCTGGAGGGCAAAACATAGGAGGAGGAACCGAGGTCCCTTGGGTTGGTTTGTTCAGCTGAGAAGAGGCTGAGGGAAGGCCTTGTAGCTTACAGTTGGGCTCAATGATCCTTATGGGTCCCTTCTGATTTGGATGTTCTGTGACTCTATGATTCTACTATTTTGAGTATTGCTTTTCTTTGTGTACTGTGGGTTTTTTTCCCCATTATACAAGAAATCTAGCATACTTCCACAAAAGCTGGTAAGAAGTTCAAAATAAGGAATTGATTTTATTTTAAATACAACTTTTTGAAAAACATCTGCTTGATTCTCTATGTATTTTTGTGTTTTGCAAAATTAAGATATTATTGCTTAAATTGATTAGGAAAACTCTAAAAGCAGATAAAATTAGAAAGAACTTAACCAGAAAGAAGGAAAATTTACCTTACTGGTACCAGTTTGACATTCACCAGTTGATTTTTATAAATCCTCAATTGTCCTTCTCGATAGGAACCATTTGAAGTTTAGATAGAAAGAATATGGAACTCTGTACCTGTAAAGAGCTGCTGTTAAAGCGTGGGCTGTGGTTTGCTACACTGGGGAGCAGCTCTGATCGAAGAGGCCTAGTGGTCTTAGTGGACCAGTGTGTCTGTGTTTCTTCTGGTATTACATCTGCCTCTTGAAGGAGGAAAAACAAAAGTAATTAAAAAACTAAAAGCAGTTTTCAAGTTGTGGAACTACTAAAATGTCTGAATCGAGGAGTTATCAGTAAAAAATCTTTCAGAAATGATATTGTGGAAGAAACTACTATTGAAAAAACGATGAGGTTTCTACTCAAGATTTTCTAGTCCTGGCATAATGTGGCACTGATCATTAGTCTGACACTTTCTATATCATGCTGGTTTGTGTCTGGCCAAGAAGGTGCAATATGAAGGTTGCTTCTACAAGTCTGTATCTGTCTGCAGAGCTGAACCTCAATTATTATATCTGACAAAGAATAAGCTGTTATTACAATAAATATTACATGGGAGGTCTTAAAATAAACTTTCTCCCTGTTGCCTGACAGGAGAGGCTGAGTGGCTTTAACATAGTGCACCAAAGTGTACTCCTGAATTGGTTTCACCTCTATTTCAGAGAAACCAGAAGGATAATCATTTAATAATTTCATATAAGTGTTGTCACGATCAAAAGAAGAATGTGATTCATTTAAATTTGGAAGAGAATCTAAGTGACTGCTTTGCATCAGTAAACTTCAGAGTGCTCTGTAATTCGTCATGGCCGACAGCAAGAAAACCCAGTTGAAGGAAGTGTATGTATAATGCTGTTAGAAAAGTTTTGAATTTAGCTGAACTTTACTCTTCAGTTCACTGACTGGTGTGACATTAAGAACACAATAAAGGTCAGTTAAATGGCAACATCAAAAAGTTTCTTAAATTATAAGATGGCTCTTGCGTGTGTCCAGGCTGCTGATGAATCCTTAGCGAATTATCGTGGTCTACCAGTAGACAAACACTCTATATGTAAAAATATGTTCCTTCAAATTATTTGAGTGGTAGAGCAAGTAGAGCAACATTGCCAAACTTCCACCGTGATGAAACAGAAAGCAGATTTTGAAAAGGTATTACTTAACAGTTTTTTTTTTAAGTTCTGTAAGACGGAGGCTTTGATTTCTGTAAAGCTGTTTATGGTACTACTTAAGATTTAACCTCTACCTTAATGCTATTGTAAGCCAGAATGTAATTAATATTTCTTTCTGGCAAAGGGCCAGCAGGTCAGTAGTTGCTCAGGAAAGGAAAACATTGTACATACGCCAAGCAGAAGCTCCACATTTTGGGATCCTGTTTGTACCAAGCAGGGTTAAAGTTCGTTACATAAGGGGACTGTAAGCAACAACTTGAAAGTGCAGAAATAAAAGACCGTTGAAATTAATTATGTATGGCCTACAAGATTTTAATCTCGGTGGATCTCCTTCACAAACTGTAGCCAGTTTGGCTTGTGTTTATTCACTACACCCAACTCTTCTTCATGTAAAATGTGTTGAAAACTCTTGTGAGTCTGGCAAAATTCCAGCATTAGCAAAGTTATATAGAACACCTTCACTCTTAGAAGATCAAACAGTAAAGAATAAATGAGTCTTTCTCAAATGCCCACAGATGGAAATTCACCCTGATCATTTATGGATGGATGCTAGCAGAATAGTGGCATAAATTAAAAATACCAGTAAAATACTATTCAAGTGATTTAATCGAAGGTATTAAGGCCAGCTAGTTCAAGAAAGAAAATGAAAAGGAATAATTCTATAGGCTATAGGGGACTGCTGATTTAACCTGTTGCAATTAATACACTTCAGTGCCTTTGATATGCCAGCATTTGATGAATGTACTGGTAACGATCACTGAATCTATCAAAAATAAGCATATTCAGTGAGACTGGCTTTTGAATTTAGAACAAACATAACAAAAAGCTAAGCCATTGGGCTAATTTGAGGAACCTCACCACTGCATTAGATTAGCAAGAGCAAGCTGAACTGAGCAGAGAAGACCCAAAGATGATGATAGAAAACGGCACTTAACAGAGCATTTTCCCCAGGTCCCTAAAAGATCCTTATGCATCTGTTCATTTTATGAGCTAAACCCATTGAAGATGGATTTGGCAAGCATGGGTGTGCATGACCACTGGAATAGACTTTTTGTGCATCAGTATAGATTGATTGATTCTAGATAGCGCACCAGAACATGGCGTTTTTTCCCCCAAAATAAAAAGTCAAGCCACTGCTTGGAACTACTTTTTGGATTCTGTTAAGCAGCATTTTCCCCTGCACTGTAGCAGCTCACATGGGTGAGATCTGAATGGACAGATCCTGAAAAGAATAGTTAAGTGCTTTTTAGAAATTCTTTGTCAATGCTAGTTTTCATTTTTGTTATACAGTGGAAGATTTGATGTCTGTAGATCAGCTGTGAATAGATGACACTGTGGATACAAAGAAGTCTTAAAGGTGATTCCGTTCTCCAGGTACTGAATCAATAGCATCTTTGCCATTGACATCTATAGCAATATAAATACGTAGCAATTATGTATTAAAATTACTGTTATAACAATAATGAAAAAAAATTGAGAGAAACTTGATATGCAATATAGAATCCTTAGGAGTCCCTCAAAGTTCATTGCTCTAAAGAATTGCACCTTAATTGTGTAGTTTCATTTTCTAAGGAAAGGTTCTGTAAAATATAACTTTAACTATTTCACTGTTTTCATTTTTTTTATTTGCCATGAAAGATACTTACATTTTATTGGTCTGTTTATTTTTGAGTGGACTCCCCTTCTTGTCTATGCCACTTACACCATCTTAATTTTAAATTTTAATGGACAAATTCCCAGCTTTCTGATATACTCTGTTAGAAACCAATCCCAAGTCTGTCATTGTGATGGTAAGGAATGGAGTCTTTGGAGAGGCAACATCTCATTTGCAGTGAATTCCTGGATGGCTTTTCTTAAATTGGCTTTTCCCCAGAAGTAACTTATAAATGTGGTTATTCATTTAAATAGTTTACTACTGGGAAAACAAAGCTCTATAAAGTACAAGATCTCATTTGCAAAGTGGGTCCTGGGGACTGAAAGACATGTGCTATGTGTTGTAGTCTCCATCTTCTGCTTTTTCTGCTGTTAGGAAATTATTTGAAAAATACCTAAAATAGGAACAATATGCTCAATGGCTGAACAGAAGGCTCACATCTGATCTCCACAGCAAAACCCAGAGTGGTAGCCTTTAACAATGGTTACTGTAGTCCTCAGAGGAAAGGATCTGTGTGCTTATTGGAAGAGCCAGCACAGCTTCTTTTTCCCAGGAGGGCTCAGTCTGGTTGTGGCAACCCCTGGCTGTGTGTCTGCTAGGAAAAGGGACATGCCTGGGATGTTCTTTGGTGATGAGAGTATCAGATGTATACCGTATGTCCAATGTCTGTGTCCACAATCTGAAACAGAGGCTGCTTCAAAAATATCTTTGGGAAGTGTCTTAGCTGATGTTAAGTCTTCTTGAGTCATGCCTGTGCCCAAATCAAGTCAAGGATCAATCTAGCAGTTTAGCAATTGGCTTCTAGTGAAACTTTACTTTTAAAGATCTCTTGGAATTATATAATGAAAGGTGATCCTCACCTAATTTATGGAAAGAATAAACTAAATCCTTGGATCATTCATACTTATCAAGTATTCCAAGCATAAAAGCCCTATGGAAACAAGACTTGTCTCATGCCTCTAAAATTTCTTGCAATTGTTTCTTGGATGATAGTATGGAGAATATCTTTCAGGAAACATGCTTAGAATAGTCACAAAAGCACTGAATAGCCCTGAAAATAACAGCCATCTTACTAATAATACTCCAGCACTCTCCCTTTTCATAGAATGCGTGCTTGACATATCATAAATGTCTTCAACAGTATGAGAATGTCCCATATTTGTTGGAAAGGCACCTGACATCATCCCAAATTTTAGTGTTACTGTCCAACAAAATTAAAACAAACAAACAAACAAAACAAAAGAAAAAAACAAAATTCTTGAAATAACTGCATGTTTTGCATGTTTTTCTTTTTCAGTTATACTCAGTGCTCTCAGTCAGGCCTTCACACAGTCTGTGTTTGGCTGAATTCTCTTTGCGGAGTTTAAGAGACTTCAGAGGCATTTCTGAAAGCATTTAGATTAAATACAGAGAGCAGAAAAAAGAAAGGAGGTTCTTAATGTTTGATTTTGATTCTTTTTTTGTTCTATAATGTAACATCGATAGCTTGGGAACTGGCTTAAACAGTTAATGGTAAATGCCTATGGTAAATGGTAAAGGCATACTGTTACAGTTAAAATTTAATATTTAAAATTTAATAATTTTAATATCCCATGGGGAATCATCTGAGTTGTTATGCATAAATGAACATGACAAAATTCCTTGTCAGGTAGAGTAAATAACTTCAGTATGTGCGTATTTCTCTCATTTACTCCTCACATTTTTTGCCACCTATTTTATCATAAATACAGAAACTAGCTTCAGTCCCCAAAGCAAGAAATCAGAGGTAAGAATGCAGACCACACTTACAGTTTTCTGAAATTCTAAGGAAAACTGTAATCTAGATTTCCTAAGTGGAATCATGGTTATTATATTCAAGACATGATTTTTATTTATTTTTTCAGTGGGTAACTGGGAAAAATGAGCTGAAGTTTCATATAGTTTTCGAAAGCAATATTTTGTCATTTTGATATTTGTCTTCTCTCAACAGCAGTTTCTATTATTGTCATGTACAATTAGGCCTAATTATTAATGGTTTCATTAAAAAAAAGCATTTTCCTCTTTTTTATTTTTTGTTCTGTCTGGAAAGGAGAATTCTTGCAAAGACAGGAAGCCCAGTTGCCTGAATATAATCATAGTGTAATTTTATCATAAGCAGAGATTGTAGTTGATTTAAAGGTGGTTTTTTTTTTGTTTGTTTGTTTTTTTTGTTTTTGTTTTTTCTGCAATCTGAGTGAACAGAGTCTATGCTTTGCCTAATTGTTACTTCCTGTTTCAAGTTGTCTTTCTTGAGTCAGTACTGGGACCTGTCCTGTTTAATATCTTTATTGGTGACCTGGATGAAGGGATTGAGTGCACCCTCAGTAAGTTTGCAGATGACACCAAGAGGAGGGAGGAAGTGTCGATCTGCCTGTTGGAGGACCCTGCAGATCTGGACAGACTGCATTGTTGGGCTGAGGCCAGCACTATGAAATTCAACAAGACTGGGTGCTGAGTCCTGCACTTTGATCAGAAGAATCCCAGGTAATGCTATGGGCTTTTTTTAAGTACAGGGGCAGAGTAACTGGAAGACTGTGTGGAAAAAATGTACCTGGGGATGGATGCTCAGCTAAACATGAGCCAGAAGTGTGCCCAGGTGTTCATGAAGGCCAATGGTGTCCTGGCTTGTATCAGAAATACCATTGTCAGCAGGAGCATGGAAGCGATCATTCCTCTGTTCTCAGCAGTGGTGAGGCCGCACTTTGAGTACTGTGTTCAGTTTTTCACTACAAGAAAGACATTGATGCCCTGGAGCAAGTCCAGAAAAAGTAATGAAGCTGTGGGGGGTTTGGAGCACAAATCTTATGAGGAGTGGCTGGAACTGGGATTGTTTAGTGTGGAGAAGAGGAGGCTCAGGGGAGACCTCGTTGCCCTCTCTAACTACCTGAATGGAGGTTGTGGTGAGGTGGGTGTCAGCCTGTTCTCCCGTGTAACCAGCAATAGAATGAGAGGGAATGGTCTCAAGATGTACCAAGAGAAGTTCAGGTTGGATATAAGGAAAAAATTCTTCTCTGGAAGAGTGGTCAGGCACTGGAATGGGCTGCTTGGGGAGGTGATAGAGTCATTTTCCCTGGAGGCATTTACGGAACATGTAGATGTGGTACTAAGGGATACAGTTTATTGGGAAATATTGTTGATAGGTGGTCAGTTGAACTAGATGATCTTCGTGTCCTTTTCAAACCATAATGGTTCTATTATTCTATTACTATCATCATTGCCGTTTATCTATCTCTGTTTATCTACCTATTTATTTATTAAGTTAGCTTTCTCTTACCCTTGTTGGTAGTAAAACCCTTAATGCTACAGTGACCAATGGAAAACATTGCATCTGACACCAGGAGACAAAATAAGCAGGGAGGGATCTGTGAAAAATATTTGCAAGAAGCAAATTAGAGTGTAGATGGAGATGATTCATTCATGTGATTCTTCAGTAAAAGGTAGCAGAGTAGAACCAGAGACCATTGTCACTCATCTTGAATTCATTTTACCTGATCTCTAAGTATTTCCCTGCTTCCCCCTGGAGCTCTGAAATAGGCTACTTGTCTGAGTATTCCTTTTTTTTTTTTCTTTTTTTTTTCTTTTTAATTCCAAAAAAAGTGAGAGTAAAAAAGGCAGCTAACAGAGGAAAAAGCTGAAGGCAAGTTATACAGAAAAAAAAACCAACCATTTGGCCATCTGTTTGTCCATCCATTTAAACTTGCACAGATTTTTGTGCAAACTGATTTAGGATAAAGTTTTGTCAAAAGCATGTAATGATCTTAAGTTCCTGGATCACTTAAATTGTTTAGAAAACGTTGCTAGACATTGAAGCGTCCATTTTTGAACAGAGAAACAGGTTGCATTTAGCATAGATGCTGGCAATTTTTTGCCTATTTCTGTGATTATTTTAATTGCTTTCTTGAAAAAAAAAAAAAAAAAAAAAAATTTCTTCTGCAAGTCTCCCAATGATTGTTTGATTTAGTAACTTAGGTCTATCTGACTCCCATTCAAGTGTGAATTCAAGTCATTAAAATCTGTTGATGACTTCCAGTGGAGAAGAATCAAACCTATTGACCTTCATCTCATAATTTTCATGCAGTTTGCTCACAGACTCTAAGTAAGCAAATTTAAGCTTGCACAGATAAAAATGTGATTGAGCTGGGAGTGTCTTCCTCGATTGCAGTGTTCCCTAACAGCACAAACAACCACAATCTTCTTACAAGCTGATTTTTCTTGTGCTATGGCTATCGCTGTTGCTATTACTAAAAAATGCTCTGAATTTTCCTGGCCTTCTGATAGAAACCTTTACTAGCATTCCAGCTCGTGCTTACAAGAAAATAGACTTGGGATCTGCATCTGGTTGTTTTCTGATAGTTAATTTTTTTCAGCTTCAGCTGAAACACTGTTGAGGTATTGACCCAGGATGTCTCTCACAACTTAAGTTTAAATTTCATTTCACTGAGGAATGGATTACCTCCTTAAATTCCCTGGGAAAAGCATATGCATTTTTATAGCTGCTGAAGCTCCATACGTGTTACTTAGAACAGCTGAGACTTTCAAGAGTTCAGCCAAGGCTTCCTTTGTTGTTTATGGGAGCTGCCTGTTGCTGCCAACTTCAATGACTGAATTTTTGATCATTCTAGAAAATGACTTCTTATAAAACTTCTGGCCATGTAGAAATAATGTCATTGTTACTTTGCACTACCACACTGAATACGTTTTATTATATGATTTAGGCTAAGTACACTGTTGACAGCTTAAAAGGGAGCTGCTAGAGCCAGTGGATCTCATGCTGTAGAAGCATTAATTTCCTACCCAAAAAGCGACAGACAATGAGGGCTGGCAATTGTAATACCAAGGAAAGTAAAGAATGGCTCGTTTCTTGTTGTACAAGTAGGATGTAATCTTTTTATGTGAAGTCCTTGGCTTGATCCATACAGGAGCCTCTATGCTTGCATGTTAGAAGAATAAGCTTGCCAGAAATAGAATGTTTTGGGTTGAAGAGGATCTTAAAGATCATCTAGTTGCAATTTCTCTCCATGGTCAAGGTTGACAACCGTTAGATCAGGTTGGAAAGGATTTCATCCAGCCTTGCCTTGAATGCTTCCAGGGATGGAGCATCCACAGCCCTTCTGGACAGCATGTTCCAGTACCTCACCACCCTTTGAGTAAAAAATGTCTTCTTAACATCTAACCTAAATCTCCCCTCTTCTAGTTTGAAGCCATTCCGCCTTGTCCTATTACTATCAGACCATGTAAAATGTTGGTTCCCCTCCTGCTTATAAGCTCCCTTTAAGTACTCAAATTCAAGGCCGCAGTGCTGTCTCCCTGGGATTCTCCAATCTAAAATATCCTAACTTCCTCAACCTTTCCTCATAGGAGACGCACTCTAGCCTTTTCATCATCTCTGTGGCCCTCTTCTGGACTCACTCCAACAGCTCTACATCTTTCTTGTGCAGAGGGTGACAGGCTTGAACACCGTAATCCAGATGGAGTACTTACAAGGGCAGAGCAGAGAAGGACAGTCCCATCCCACTCCCTGCTGGCCACTCCTCTTTTGATGCAGCCCAGGATACCATTGGCCCTCTGGGCTGCAAGAGCACATTGCTGGCTCATGTCCAGCTTTTTGTCCATCAGGACCTCCAAGTCCTCCTCCATAGGTCTCTCTCAATGAATTCTTCTTCCAGTCTGTATTTGTATCTTGGATTTCCTTGACCCAAGCGCAAAACATTGCATTTAGCCTTGTTAAGATAACATAACCATAACATAAAAAACAGTATGCTTCTTAATTCTATGTATTGTAAAATCCTTACCTTGCAGAACTGCTGCTGAGGGGAGCTGGAATCAGAACTACACATCCAGCACAGTGCCGTCTGGAAGGGGATCAGCAAATAGGGACTGAGGCACTGCCTTCCCACTTCTGACAGCTCCAAACCCATTCCCAGAGGCTACATCAAAGTGAGAAGTCATGGACTTGGCCTTGCTCATCATCCTTTGATTTTTCTGTTACAGCTCCCAGTCAATTAATGATTGTAGCTTAACTTATGAAACCTTGATCCATGTTGCAATAATAACCAAATAATCCTTGCCTTCTGTGAAATCAGAAGTTACTTCTTAAATTGCAAGAGAGTTTATAACACCTGTCCTGGATCAGCCTGATAAACACTAACACCTGACCATAGAGTGGGACGGAAGGGTGGGAATGTCCTGCAGTCAGGATGCCCAACCTGGCTACAAAAGGGCTGTAGATACAGTAATTTTGAAGAGCACTTAACTCACTGTTAAATATTTAAGAGGAGAGAGTACATGAGAGCTAAAGATTTTCTTTTGGCATAAACATTTCTTAGGCTCTGGTGTTGTTGCATTGTAAGTCACGTGCAGTGGCACTGGAAAGGGGCAGCAAGGCAGGTGCATGGTATGACCCTGAGGTTCTCATTCTTGGAGCCACTTTCTCTGCGTGGACTGTGGATAATAGCAGTGTAATGGAGGTTGTCACCTTTTGGCCTGTGAACCTCTAACCCTCAAATAATGGCCACGAATGTGAATTCATTCAAATTAAAAGTTTTACATCTGTCAGGTTATAAATACATAAAGGAGCAACTCTGTTATTCAGTTGTGTTGAAAAGAAGTTGAAAAGCCTCTGAATTGAAACATGCTTGCCGCTAGATAAGATACATTTTTAAAGAGCATGCTCTTATTTTAATAAAATACCCCCTTTAACCTTCATTTTTTTTTCCTGTCTCTTATTATTCAAACAGCAGCAGATGTTAACTTCACTAACACCTTCCCACTCTTACAATACTACATGTGTTACACGTACGTATCTCCTTAGATCTGTTCACCTATAGACAAGCTGGTTGCATCTAATGATCTGTTTAATCATCAAGTTCCCACATTTCAGGGCTAGGAGCTTGCATGGAGTTCCCTGCATTTCTAGGAGCATCAAAACCAGAAGTGTGCTGGTTAAGCTAATGAGTCCTAAAAGCATTCAGGTACCTCTTCTGTGTCAAATGCTCCCCATATAGATCCAAAAAGGGGAAATAAGATATTTCTGCACTGCATTTTATTTGGGTAGCAGGAGCAACTCACACCCCACATGGAGTGACAGGTTAGCTGATGTTTGTTTGAATAGAAACTCTTGTCCTCTGACTTAATTAATCTGCATAGGTTCAACAACCCCACCCCATGTCAGCCAACTAATCAGAGTTTAAAATTTTGTGTAAAGCACTATTCTGCCTGCAGCAGAACTGGCCCTAAAAGGAACTGTCTCCAGCCTCCCTCTCGCTGCTCATTTCTTCTCCTGATACCAAAGGTAATGGTCACGGCTCTCTGGGTTTTACTGTTTGTCAGAGTGATTTCCAACCAGGGTGAGAGATGATCCTAATTAAAATACCCTTAAGCCAGGGATTGCGGACAGAAGTTGGAAAAGGAGCAAAATCTGAGTTATAGCTGGAGCTGATGATTCTGTCACAATGAGTGTGTGCCTGTGTCAGTGTGCTTTCTGAAGAAGTGTTGTAGAACAATGGCATCTGTCCAGGATATATGTTGTTCTTTATTGATTTACTGAAGTCAGTATTATTAAGGTTTTATATTTGAGTATTCCTGTTTATTTAAAGATGCATCTACATAGTGTTCACAACACTCTATGTTTATTTATTTTGGTTTACTATGACTAGATGGAAGTGTGGGCCAACATTTACCCAGGCTGATACATAGCATGGTGTTATTTTAGCACAAATGCTTATTGTTCAGCACCTACATAAGATCAGCCATGACAGCTGATGGTTAAAAATTTATGATAATTCATGTTGCCAATATGATTTCAGCTACAAAAACGTACAAGCTCTACTTTAGTCTCCTTGTCTTTGCACATATAATTTTAAGTAAAACAAGAAGAACTCTAGGCTCATCTGACAATTCTATGTCTTATTGCATCATATAATGTGGATTATATGACCAGAGACAGCTGAAAAGTATGGTTTCCCTTCAGACTTTGCCATGACAGATTTACAGTCTGCTGAATCCTGCAGAGAATTGAGGATGTGCATTACAATGCATTGTCTCCTGCAGGATGCCATGAACTTTCAAGTTGTTTTCACTGTGTAATTGCTCCAGTTTTTAAAGTCAGGTAATAGCAGCACAAAACTAAGTGATATATATATATATATATATATATATATATATATATGTGCACAATTTATGAGCAGTGTTTTCACGTTTAGTGTGAAACACATAGTAAATCAGATCATTGTCTAGTTTAGTAATACACGGCATATTGTGCTGGGATGTAAAACTAGAGCAGAGCACTTACATCTGGAGTGCTATTACTTAATTGAATGCATATCACGTGTCAAAAAAAAAAAAAAAAAAGGCAGCCATAATATATATAAGGACTAAAGTGGAATGGGATGACGTTATGGTGAAAAGCACAGTGCTTTTCACTTTGACATCTGTGATGAAGTGGCCACAAGTGATTATATTTCAACTCTTGTCACTCACCTCCTCCATGCCAGTAATGTTACTTGTTAATTTATCTTCAGTGTTAAAAAGATTAATATTAGAAATTACAAATTTAATAACTGTACACGGGGCTAAATGTTTGAAACCAGAGTTGGGTTTGTCACAACACTCTACTAAAGAAATTATGGCCTCAAGGTTTAAAGTCAGAATTAGTAGTGAAATAAAGAAATTGTTTATTGGTATGCTGCTGTTGGATTTATCAGGAGGAAGCCAAACATTTCTGTAAGTTTAGCCCATCCTGCACTAATATTGCCTAGGTTAACTGCTACTAATTCGATGTTGACTATTTAAGAGCTAAGTTTAAGCAAATACAAGATTTGCCAGACGTTTATTTCCATGTTTATGTTCAGGAAGATGTAGACAGATGTGCAAATACCCATCATCTTCCTCCATTAAACATGTGCACAACAGAGAGAGTAGGCCTAAATTATTAATATGCTCTGATCAGTAGGAGGGGGATAAGCAAAGCACTAGCAGCGTTTCTTGCTGTAGGATGGTGCCCAGCTTGTCACCAGCCCTGGAGTGAAGAAATACAAATCTGAGGGGCTGCAGAAAAGCCTATGTGTGAGAGTTGAGGACAGTGTGTTTATTCTGAATGTTTATAATTTCTCTGATAATAGAGTGTCATGTTCAGTGCAGAGAACAAAGAGCAACTCTCACCTTTCCTTAGCTTGAATATCAAGTCACCTCATCCTGTGATGTACAAGGTAAAGTAATTGCATCTCAAATATGTAGTGCATTTTTATTTAGAAGGTTAGTGCAAAATTGATTTATGAAACAATTTCTCCTGTTTATGTCAGAGAGGCCATTTTCTGGTAAATAATTAGATATGGCTTTCTCTGCTGTGGTGACATATGCCTTTATGAGGCTAGGTACAGTGCTGTTTTCCATTACATAAAAATTGGAGGAAATCCTCTCTGGATCTACACGAGGTTTTTTTTTTCCCTCTGACGTAATTTTATGGATTGATTCTAGTTGATTTTGGAACGGTAATTTTTTGAACAGTGTTTACATGTGCCTACTGTGAAGTGCAGTAAACAATGATCTGTTGCTGCTCAGGAGGTTGCTTCCTTCTTTTCGTTTCAGAATTGATTACTTGCTCATTTGAGATCAGTGCATATGGGAAAACCTGTATGACACTTGACATGGAAAGACATAGTCTTCCTGGACCTCGAACTACCATCTGGGCTTCCACTTTGGTAGTAGATAGCTTGGGACAAAACATTCTCCTGGCCTAGTGCCTTTCCTCTATCACAGTCATGTATCGGAAGTATCCAAGGTTGATGTGTGCTGTTCCCCTCTCCTGCACTTCCTTTTATGTAGATTTTTAGGTCGTTTTTCAGACTTTTGTACCTAAAGTTATGTACATAAATTGCTAGTATTTTTTTTTTTCTAGGTATCCATTTTAATCTCATAAATACTGATTTAGATTCAGATGTCCAGTAAATTTAATCTCCTAAATTTGATGTAGTGCTCTGTTTTTTATTAGACATAGATTTAAATTGTTAATTTTTTTTTATTTTTTTTTTTAAATTTGTAGAGTCTCCAGCGAGTTCCTTAAAACATAATTCAAATCTCACCAAGTTGATACAGGAAAGGCTGAGTAGTAAATGAGCTATTTATTTTTGATAGCTTTATACTTAATCTGGTAATAGAGCAGACAAAATCTTCTAGGATATATTTGGTATGTTATTGAAATATTAACACAATTTTTTTAAAAAGCATATTTATGAATTTATTTAGATTAACTTGATTTATTTTAAGTGTACTGTAGTGGAAGGGAGTTATAGTTCATTGAAAAAACTGACATTGGGAGAAATTGGACTGAATTTTGAAGGAACACTGGTGTATATATAGATATAGAATCATGGTTTTCAACAGCTGTAATTTTAGCTTCCTAGATTACTGAAATTTTACTTTCATAGGATCATAGAATGGCTTGGGTTAGAAGGAACATTAAAGCTCATCCAGCTCCAACCCCCTGCCATGGGCAGTTTTGCCACCCAGTAGCTCAGGCTGCCCAGGGACCATCCAATGTAGCTTTGAATGCCTTCAGGGATGGGGCATTCACAGCTTCTCTGGGCTGCTGTTCATCTGTGCCAGAGCCTCAGGGACCTCTGAATGACCCTTCTGCCTTCCATAGTGTGGATTGAAAATGAATGTGGGTTTTTTCGTTTGTTTGTTTCTTTGCTTTTCAGGGAAAATGATTCTGTGTTCCTGATTCAATTTGAATTCTCATTTCAGAATGTGGCTTTTGTGTTATTAGAAGAATTGTTAATGGTGCTTAAACAGAGCTGAAGCTCATTTTATCTAGGATGATTTGTTTACTGACTGTTGGGACAACGATGGAAATACTTTTTTCTTTCTACTTTTATGTTATAGAAGTAAACTTTTCAATTGTTGCTATCTATTAGGCAGAAGCTTACAATGAAAATAGTGAAAATGTTGCTTTTCTAAACGTACAGAGAAGATGAAATTATATCAAATCCAGAGAGTATTCAGAATATCAACATAAAATTTCACCACAGACACGAGGGTTTCTGTAAATGCAGAATGCACCTGGAGTAATGCAGAGCCAGTTTTCTTTAGCAGTGTGTGCAGACAGTTTAAAACTCATCAGAAAAAATTACTTCTGACAAGGTGGTCCACAATTTAAGCTGCTGTGACCTTCTCCCAAACTGTAGATAACAAAGGCGGATTAGAAATAGTACTAATGGTAGTCATAAAAATCATCCACCCAGACTGAAATCTTCCTTAAAATAGAAGTTACAGCCTTCTTGGGAGAATAATTTCTGAAGATTAACAGAGCATTCACTACTTGCGTATGAAAAAAAAAAAGGGGCCTAAAATTGGAAGGTGTCATTTTGTAAAGCAGACATGCCCGAGCAGACAGTGAGTCGTGGAGGATGGAAGCGAGGCCACCCCCAGCATCTCAGAGGAAGTAATTAAGAGGAATTGAGTGTGGGGGAAAATCACCCTCTTGACATCAACATTACTAAGAGACCAACAAGTCCCCATGCTGGCTGACTCTGGCGGGTGGAGGCTAGACAGGAGCACAACTTTGATTGTATTGATTTAGTTAATAAATAATTTAAAGGAATAAGAAAAACATCTTTTTGCAAGAGCAGCAATGATTGCAGCACAGACTGGTAACTTACTGATCACCGTTCAAGGCAGCTGGAGCTGG